TGAAGCTGAAAGGGCCAGAATGGGACTGAGAGCGGTGGGATATGCAATGAGACTATTCTCTGACCAAATTAAATTTTTATCAAGCCATCCCAGAATCCGTTTTCCCCGTTTATACAGTATATGGACCTCCCCGGTCATCATTTTCCTAGCTGGCGTTCTGATAATCAGAAGAGCGGTACGGTCATGTGATCGATTCAGAGGAAACACATTGATAAAATAAATATCTTGAAGTGCTCCTGCTGATAAGAGTGTAAGAGTGAGTGTACTGATACACAAACACAACAGTCTAGACAGCCAGTACTGATAACAGTCATTATGTAATTGCATCACACAGGGTGAGTTTAAAACCAGATGTCATAGGTAGATTAGGCTAATTGGCTTTTAGAAAAAAGTCATGTCTTTAAATTCATCCCATGGCTCATAAATAAGGATGACCCAGTGGCCCAAGGCCAATGAGAGAATTTCAGGCCAGTGGACAGACCTGTCTCTTGCCTTATGCAAATGTTACTGAAGGACTTTCTTAAGACCAATTAGTCTCATACTCATTACATTTTTTCCCCCAAGACTGTTAATATATTAACCAGACCTTGAATTAAGTGTATTAATGCAAACATTGGATATTAAGCTCAGAAAAAAAATCTATAAGTACTAACTTTTTTATGCCCTAAAACATTGAGTAATATGAGTGAGCATTTAAAAAAAAGGCAAACAGCAAATGGTTTTGTAAAAGCAATCTTCACTTACATGACATCAACACAGACTCTGCTAGAGGACCTGAACCTGAACCCATGTTCTCACTCTCTTTTATTACTTCTCACTCACACTAGACACATATCCAAAGTAAAAAAGTGAATTTAACAGCCTTTTCTGCACTCTCACAGACTGTCAAAGGCATTCAGTCTAGACACGCATGCAACATCCATGACATCATTGCCTTGAACTGGAGCATTTGGACCTGGCTGAAACTTCACTTTTGTTTTCAACCAAAGTTGCTGATTTCTGCACAAAATAAAACTTGTTACATCACTATTGAGAAGCACATCTTTTATATATATGCAAAAATCAAATAAAACAAAAGATAAATAAGCAACCGCCTGCCTCAAAGCACATATGGACCCATAAAGGATTGCACACTTCTTATAAAGCAGATGATGCAATAGTGTTCAACATTTTATGAGTCCCAAATAGGCACATCTCACGGGTCCATCTGCAAATAAAACCACGCGCGTCAAGGGAGACACATTTGCAGGGAAAAAATTGAGGTTGAGGAGTTCTGTTATGCAATCGTAACACTGTCATTTTTTATGGGCATTTTAAAAAATGTGCAAGGGACGAGCCAAGAAATGCAGGATGCATAATCTCCTTTTTATGTTTTCTTCATACTGACGCAGAACGCTGGGTCTTTGCGGGGTCTTAAACACCCCAATGCTGTGGCCAAGCATTTACACAAATCAGCCTGTAGAGAGTCTCCACTGCACCCTGGCCAGCTCATTACTGGGAACTTTTAGACAGGTAATGTCATACCGTCACACCAAATCTACACATTAAGACACACTAAAGTGTGACAGATTTGTGGAAGTGGGCAAACATTCAGTATCATTGCCATATGAGCAGTCAACGTCCACCAGGTTAGCATGATCACCTGGCTTCCACATGCCTATTAAACACATGCCTTCAAGACCATTTAACTTTTGTGAACATAATTTTTCTAAATTAACTGTTGCTAGACTGTGAAGAGACAATGAGATCATGTTACAAGCCTTTCCGCTCTCAAAGTCTCCGCAAGAATTCCAGTCACGGTACTTGCAACCACCACAACCAATTTTGTTTTTAGTCGGTGCCTTGGTTTCCTGCTAGATAAAGTTTAGCTGGTCATATGCTCAGATGTACTGTAATGGTCTCCAGGAGGAGGTGAATGTGAGAGAGGAAATGGCCACAGAGCTCAGCTATAGCCGCCCCAGCACAATTATTCCTGTAAATAAGCAGCAGTAGGTGTCTGGAATGTGTCAGCGCATGGGCTCAGACTGGACAACCAGAGCACGACCTCACCTACCACACACACAGTGAGGGCCTGTCCTAAGCATACTTATTCTCAGTAAGTTTCACATAACCTGTGACAGTGTGCAAACACGCTCACGGCTGTCTCATTGGGGTCCTGCATGGATCTATTTATTCATCATGGAATAACACTTACAGGAAGTCACAGTCAGCTTTTTTTCCCCAGCAATAACTGTAAAGTACCAGTGCAGTGGGGCTAAGGCTGGGCTTTGATGACTTCTTTTAAAGAAGCCTGCAGTTAGCCATCTGTGGAAATAGCCAAAATTTACAGATCATGCCTTATAAAGTCCAAAAAATTATTTCTGAAGGATCATGTGACACTGAAGACTGGAGTAATGGCTGATGAAAATTCAGCCTTGCCATCACAGGAATAAACGACACTTTAAAATTTAACAAACTGCAATATTTCACAATGCTTATTTTGAATATTTGATCAAATAAATGCAGCCTTGGTGAGCATAAGAGACTTCTTTCAAAAACTTCTTACTAATTTCATTGAAACTCCTTACTAAAATGAAAGAATATACCTCACATTGTACACTCGCACCATACATAAGCAATAATATGAAATTCAACATCCCTTAAGAACAGATTCTCATATTTAGGCTACTTGTTTTGAGGCATGTTCTACGCTGTACGTTAGCACCATCCATGTTTGGTCATTCTCACATTCGAACATACATCTTCCAGGCTACAGCAAAATCTCGACTAGTCACACATTTATACCACTGCATGGTATATACTGGTTTATACAACAGTTCTTTCTGGTCCTCTAATCTGATTGACTGATAAGAGTGTGATATTCTAGTGATAACAGAACTCCAACAGTTTCACCATCTGTGTCACTCTGCTTGCAGCATTTCTCACAGCGAGTGTAACAGAGGATGCCCAAATCCACTTTAATTTTTAATAAATTACATTTTGTGTTAATAAAGATAACGTCTATTTAAAAAAAAAATTCGACCTACGGCCGAATCACAGCCGTGCCAATATACAGCCATAGCGCACTGCTAATTGTGTGATATTGCTCATATATACCACTCAGCCCTATTATACTTCAAATAAATTGACATCATACAAACCCAAAAGCCCATGTTTCATGTGAAAAGTAAGCTGAAAGACTATGAAACACTATTACCTATATATGCTTTGGAGAGCAGTAAGAAAGCTGGTGCTGACTGCCAAAAGCACAGTGCTATAACTCACCTGGCACTGTAACCAAGGCAACATCACAACAATAGCGGTTACCTCCAAAAATATCAAATCTCGGTTGTTAAATAAAGCAAGTGTGGGCCATTTGACGCACCTCTTAACCAACTTCAGCTGACATGAGAGCCTCTGTCATTGTCTTGCCAAAGTGAATCTATGTCTGGGTTCAGCAATATTTTTGCTCTACCATTTTATAAATGTGTTTAATACACAGAGCTGTAGATAAAAACAAACACAGCTGAGTGTGTGATTAGTCAATGTGCTCATTATGTGTATGTAGTTATTCCAGGTTATGGGTGGGTAAGCTGTCCCCGAGGGGACTGGTGTTGTGTGACTCAGTAACAGGACATATCAACAACCTACCCCTTAGTCAGAGGACTTAGTCACAGCCTACTGACTAGTACACACCCAGTCTATAGCTACACAGTCACAGACACACCACAGACTCCTTAGCACCGGTACACGTCACTGCTTCATCTCCAGAACATTCGTTACTCAAGATCAGTCAGAGACGTGGCCCTGTAGTTAGCGCACTTGCTCTGAGCTATTGAGATGAGGCCCTCATAAATGGGCGACTTAAAACCCTGATCCCATTCCCCACATCATTTCCTGTCTCTCTAATGTCCTATAAATACAGCAGTACAAAAAGATTTCACTGACAAACCCAAATTTAGGAACAAACTCATAAAACATAAAACAAACAGACAAAAGATTTTCCTAAATGCACCCTTACTTAATAAATCGCAGTTCATTTTAAATTATAAGTCCATGTGAACTGGAAGTTGCTGCCAACTTTATTTCAGTATGGTTACATATTTCCAACTGAAACAGAATATTGAGTAGAGGCAAAAAATTTTTTCAGAGGATTAACTTGCATGGATTAATTGTTGACTTTAAGACTAGCAATGTGCGCTAACAAAATAAATATTGTAATTTTTGATTTCATGCGGACTTTAAGCTAAATGAAATTGTGACGTAATTACGAAAAAAATAAGTTCGCAATTCTGAGAAAAATAGTCAGAATTAGGAGATATAAGCTTGTATAAACTTTTAATTTAAACCTTTTTTTATGATTTTTTCAGAATTGACTTTTTTCCCCTGAATTCTGAATTTACATCTCAGAGGGGTTTTTTTCTGCCATGGAACAAACAAAGATTACCTTTTTTCTCGCAATTCAGACAATTTATTCCTTATTAAGTTTATATCTCACAATTTGGGCGTTTCTTTCTCTCTTTCTTTCTTTTTGGTCAGAATTTCCAGAAAAAGTCTGAATTGTGAGATAAAAAGGTAATTGTGATTATTATTACAGAGCAGTTGTTTATTTGTGCATGTAATAATGTTAATGCATATTGTGATATTCATATATTGTGTCTATTTGTCTTTACATTTGAATACATTTTAATAAACAATGTTGGAACCCAAAAAGTTTGTATGCATGCTCTTTAGTTGGTATACGCATAAGAAAATTTTCACATCAGTTTTTTGTCTTTATAAATACCCATTTGTTCCTCTCTCGACATAGGATGAAATGCAAAGAATTTAGGATCAAATCCTAATCAAGACCCAGATTCTTTTATAACAGTGACCTTAACATCTCTGTCCCTCTGGTCAGTATCATCAGTCATAATTTCCTCATCATTTCATCTGCTTCTATAAAAATGGAACAGACAGACCAAGTACAAACAAACTGTAAAGGGCTGCTCGGTAACATAGTCCAATTGTTTCATGCTTACATGTTATGCTTTTGCCAGAAGTGCTAGTGAGGTCCGGTTGGGACAAGCTGTTGTTGTTGTTGCCATTCTCCACGTCTCCTGTCTTTTCCATGGGTGGGGTGTTTGAATTCTGTGCTGTCTGCTCACCGGTTTTATTCCCTTCTGAGGCCAAAAAACACAAACACAGAGGAGAGAGAAAGAAAAGAAAAGTTACACAGAGATTACACAGAGCTTTGCTTACATATCGATTTCTAAATTGTCTTGATGCAACAACAGTACAATGTGGATGCTCAGTTTAGAAATGTGTTTATATTTGCACCAGCTATTTTGCTAGATCATCACTTTGCATGCACGCTGTGCTCACGTATCTGAGAAAGCACATTCATGCGGTCAGCAGCATGTGTTTGTGTGTGCGTGTTTTGTAAGTTAGAGCTAGAGCCAAGTGGTCTTATTATGTGGCCTGGTAATTATACAGGGCTGTCTGAGGAGGCTAAAGCAGCATGACATCAAAGAGGGTCAGGACTGGGTCTTAGCGAGGAGAAGCGCTGTGTTTAGCTGAGCTGAGTGCAACTGAGCTCTGCTCCATCCTGGCCTCTGGCCCATACCTACCCAAATGGAAGCCAGCTGGGCTTTACTCGCTGTCTGATAAACACACAGCATCTCCTGTGGAACATCAGTCCACTGCTCTCTGTTTATTTCCTTTAGTGACTCTCTGCCTCGTTTTGCTTTACTGGATTTTGGCAGACTCCAGTTTCTACCTTTTTTGTGTGATTGTGTTTAGGGATTTCTATTCCTTTTTCTTAAACTCGTCAATTTTGTCGACAAGAGGATTACTTTTTAAATATATTACCTTAGCAGGGTCAAGATTGACAACAATTGATTAGCCATCCACAAAGGGCTATTAGGAGTTTTGCATGGTAAAACCCTCTCAGAATGTTTTAGATCTGTAAAGGATTGCAGATACAGCATTCAAATGGATGTCTTTTGCCATTGCATAGCATCTTGCACTGTTTTTGAGTGTAAACTAGTTCATAAACAATTTTTAAACTACTAAAAACATGTCAAACCAGGGGCAGATCAACCCCAAACCAACCTGATTATAGAAAGCTTCCTGACCAATTATTTTACTAGTTGTTCAAGCAAACCACAGACTAGTCTATTTAAAAAAAATTATATATATATATTGCTTGTAGTTAAAAAAATTATAAAAATGTATATATGTATTTTTGAACATGTAGTTTTTAAATAAAAAATTAAATCCCTTGACCTTGGTGAAAGAGAGCCAGAAAGATAAATAAAAGGGAGAGAGCCGAGTTTGAGTGACAGGGATCTTGACCTATCAGTATCAGACAGATCTAGCTGCTGACAGAACTGTAACCATACGCTCTTATTTATTTTCTCTACTAAACTCTTTCACCTCTGAGCAGGCAAACCCAGACGACTCACGAGGGGCTTCCATCTCCCATTTCCTCAACCAAAACTCCAACAACAGACAAATTGTCAGGGCCTGAGCTCATAGCTCACAGAAACTTCAACATTCTCTCCTCCTCAACCTCAATGACAAATAAAAGTACAGCTTGTTTGCAACACTTCATGCCAGCAGCACAAATGTCCCTTGACACTTTGCCTGCTGAGGTCTCAAAGCATCTCGTGGTTCTGTGCAGGCCCCTGGGCAGTATATCCTGTATGTGCATCTGCCTGTGTAGTAATGAAGGAGCTGGAATTGGTAAGTCCATATCTGGAAGCAACTGCTGACAGGGCAGAAAAAGTCACAATAACACCAGCAAAAGTCGCAAAAATCAACCTCTAACCACAACAGAGAACGTGCGAGCTTAAAAAGTTTATTTTGTGAATCAAGAAAATAAATACATATATTAGTATATTAAATATATAACATACAGGGTAATAAGAAAGTCTAAGTCTATAATTTAGCAGTAAGAGCACAAAATATTTGACAATGGAATTCTGTGATTGACCAATCAGAATCAAAGTATTCAAGAAAGCTGTGTTATAATACACATTCAATTATTAGAGGAAAGCAATACAGAGACAAAGAAAGAGAAAAGTGAGAGAGTGAAACCTGCAGAGTTCAGAGAGTTTATAAGCTGATGTGGGTGAGTGTGAGAGCAGCGCTGGGGCTGTGGACAGACAGGGATCACGTTTATGAACCATTTTAGCTTTAAAACACAGACCAAAAGTTACTGAAGCCTGCCTCAGTAACGCTGCTGAACAGAAGTCTGCTTTTATACCGCTGTGGCACTGAAGCGTGCGTCAGCTCCTTCCGTTCTCCCATTGCTGTGGATCACTGAGCATTAGCAACTAGAACCCAGCAGTTATCAAAGGCAGAGCTTTAATTCCTCATCATAATCAAGCCGTACAGCAGGCAGGGGAGATTTACTGCGCAGGCATCATAGTTTCAGCTCAGCCTTCCGTATTATGTGGCGAGGAATTTCAAGAACCTGCACTTAATGATCTCAGCAATTACGCCACGTTTGCAAAAGCCTTTCGGAATCAGACGTCTGGGTTAACGATCCAGTGCTTTAGACACGCTAGTTGCTTTAGAGCTGGCCAAGTACATATAAAAAAAATAAATAAATAAAAATTTGCAAAATGTGATGGACTAAGGTATGTATATAGGCCATTACTTCTACATGCAACGCGTGTGGACCCTAGAGGCAGAAAATGTGTGGAAACTTTACACGACTTGTAAACAGGGCTCATACATTTTCCAGCAAACAACATAAGAACATAGGAATAAAAATATAGTATGTGGGTAATGGTCATAAAGACTTTATGGCATGAAAGGCATTGCGCTACATGTAATGTTCGGTGTTGTGGAGGGGGGGGGGCACCTCAATTTTTAATAGTACTTTTCCCACGACAACAGGAATGAGGTGTCTTGTGGTAAAGACTACTTGGAAAAATGTACATCAGCATCCTATTGGTACACAATCCCAGTGACTGTTTACAGCGATATTCTGTAGTACACTGGCACACGTTCTTTCTTAAAGAGATAGTTCACCCAAAAATGATAATGACATTAATCTTCAGTCTTTTTTTTTCTGTGGAAAAAAAAGCGAGTGATTTGAGTATTGTTTCAACTTCTTTTTTCTACAGAATGAAAGAAATCATTTGGGATTTATTTATTTTATAAAATATCTACCATGTTCACAGACGGAAGAAAGCCATTAAAATTTGTTTGAGTAATAATTTTTTTTCCCCTTTCAGCATGAACTGTACTTTTAAAGGTGGAGTGTGTCATTTCTGCACCACTAGCATCATTTAACGGAACCGCAAAAATAATATCCATTTCAAATAGATATTCACACCACAAACTGGTTGAGCAAATGAGTTTGGATGCTCAAACAACCACTGAGTTTACACTTTTCAGGGACATCGACCTATAAATAATCTCTTCTGCATATTAAACTAGGACAAAAGTATATCATCCAAAAAATGACACACTTCACCTTTAAAGAGTGTGCAGAATGACGAATGTTCTGCGGGTGTGTATACCATCCGTCGGTTACCAGGCCAAGACACTCATGCACGTCTGATTCTGAGTCAGTCTCCCTGCCTGAAGCACTCCATGTGCCTCTGTGTCTCTCTTTTTCTCAATCTCTTTCTCTCCTTTCTGTGGTTTTGCCTTATTTACTCCTGAGGTCTGGCAGAGCACACTGAGACTTTCTATAATCTTTGAGCAGTCAGGTATGAGGCCTGGTATTAGAGACTGAGCAGCCATGTGGCTTTACAGCGACACTTTGAAATACGCTCAACCCTCAAGCCCCAGCCTTTCTTTATTTTGTGGCAGAGTTGCTCTGTCCTCACCAACCCTTACTAATGCTCTTTCAGAAGAAACAGACAAAAGAGAAACAGAGAGAGACTGACAAGAGACTTAGAGAAATTTCACACCCCCATGCGTCTCAGTGGAATAGCTGAACTGAAGACTAGGCGAGAGACATGCTTGAATTAGAACTTTCTCCAACTCTGATATCCAGAACTTCTCCTTTGACTCGATGAGACCTCCCCTAACAGTGGTGACTGTAAATTCAGCTTTTAATGGAATACAAGAGATTACACTATTTCTCTTGTGCAGCAGCGAAAATATTATCCCTTTCAATCTAGAGATAATTTGCAGAGTTGAAGTGTAAAACTTGCATCTTCACTATTCAGCGTGTGCCTAGAGAAAAATGTATTGAGTAACATGACAAAAAAACTGTTAAATATCAGGCGATCTCAGAGGCGGGCCTAAAGGAGCAGTGCACCAGCCACTTGTGTTGGGAGTTAATTACTTGTCATTATCCTGACTAATTAAAACCATCACTCTTTAAAATCCACCGAGGGTGATATCGTGCTAGCACAGTGCGAGGATGGGAAAAACAAGGGGGAGAGGTAAAAGAAAAAGTACAGATGAAATGAAAGGCATAAAAATTAGGTCGATTTTATGCAGCTGTGGGCTAATATTATCATCGGCTTCAGGTTTGGCAGACAAGGTCCGCTGTAGCTCTGCAGGCATCTGGAACAATGTGCTGGCCATGGGGCACAGAGAACAGAGGGATACATTGGGAATTGGAAGGCTGCAGAATCAAACTATGCTGCAGGCTACGTTCCTCAAATTCACAATTGGTGTACTTGAAAGATCACTTTGAGAAAAGAAGGTGATAAACACCTAATTTTATGTTAAAATGCAAATATAGAGGGTGAAAACAGGTCATCAAGGGCAGATTCCAAATGCGTTGTATCATGTCTGCATAATAATTGAGATTTGTCTCTCTTAAATCGTTTAATGTGCAAAATGTGACATGTAACAGTACAAGATGGGAGCTGCTATAGATTATATAAAGTGGAAGCTGTGCTTTCATGAGCTTTCACATTTGTAAGTTAAAGTTAATAAGTTAAATTGTAGTTAAAATCTGAGTCAGTATGAAGTATGTGTGTGTGAGTGGTCAGAAATGTGTAGATGCAGGGCTCTAAACTAAACTAACGTTTTTGCAACCACTTTTCTGGGAAGTGACTAAATTGTGCACTGTTGCACTGATGCAAATTCAAAATATTGCAGTAGTAGGCTAATTTAAATTTTATCATACTTGTATTATATATAATATTAGTTGTTAGAAAAATCACTATTAAAAAATATAAAATATTATTAATAATATAACTAC